TATGTGTGTATATATATATATATATATATATATATATATATATATATATATATATTAAAATGATGATGCTGATGATATTTGTGACGTTTTGAATCAAGAAAAATTATTGAAACGTTCCATGACAACAAATTGTGTTTGTGGGAGGAGTCTATCTTTTAGCTACCGTACGCACTTCAAGAACCTTGAATATTATATGATTTTAAAGACGCGCAAAAACATTGAAAGATAATATTTGCCTTTTCAGCATCATGGTAGCAGACGATCGTTTTTCTCTCTCACTTCACCATTTATTGGTTGCTGTTGTTGTGATCTTTTTTATCGAAGACTTGCAAGGTATGAATTTGATTTTAAATATACTTTATAAGTGATGTTATACCAAGGCGGTATATTATACCTCCTTGGTTATACATTTAGATATGGCCAAATTCTCAAGGTGGGGAGGGTGGTAAAACATGTAAAAATGATTAATCAAACACACGTATAGTATTATTAATCTATTGTAATATATTATATATCAGTTACACCAAAGGAAAAGAAAAACAATTTCAATAAGTTGCACATACAATAAAATAAAATAAAATAAATAACTATTTATATTGAAAAAAAAAAAATCTGGGACCAGACTGTGCTTGTTTGCGGCAAGTTGTATTAGTTTTTCAAGATCTTTTCAAATTCCAGATTATGGCGCTACTTAGATTGCTTTGATCACATATAAGTCTATAATTAGACGTGGCTGGTTTTATTCTGGCTGCACACATTATATAGGCCTATTTACACAACGTGTAAGTTATGGAGCAATATAAACAAATTGAATAAACATGTGTTATGTATTCACAGTATGCAATTATGCTATGCATTATGAAATAGGCCTACAAATATGAATACCGCAGAGTTTCGAATACCATACTGCTGATACAATTTTAATTTTGCCAAATTTGGCCTAAAGCATTAATAAATTATTTATCACAAGCTTAGATGAGTTGGTTATAACTATCACTTGAATTGTTAAAAGTTTGTTATGTGATGCGGCCAGTCAAAACCGGTGAGGCCGGTGCAATTCCGACGGCCCTGCAATACAGAAATGTGATCACATTTGAAAATCGGACAAGAGCACAAGTTATAGGCCTATAGTGAAAATCAGGGCCACAGTGACCATTTTTCGGGGACCAAGGTTTTCTACTAATTTAGCATCACCATGGTATTTAGCATTACCTTAGTAATGGCATCACTAAGGTATAAATGAAAAATTGAGCAGGGATGAACCTCCAGAAAAAGGGCGGAACACTTTTTCTGGTGGTCATTTTCAAGGTTGCCGCCAAAATTAAGGTATCGGCTCATAACTTCACCGACATTCAATGAAAAAGGGCAAATCTGGTGTATAAGTATATGTTATTGGGGTCATTGAATTTAATGAGACATGAAATGTCAGCCATTTTCAAATTCAAGATGGCTGCCTTAAAAATTTTCAAAAATCAAATATTTCAGTATAATTCCACATCTCCTCTATGAAAAATGGCAAATTTGGGTCTAGTCATGTGTTTTAAGCTCTCCGAGTCCAATAAACATAGTTTCAATAAGAAAGGATGGCAGCAATTTTGGAATTCAAAATGACTGCCGCCAAAAGCGTCGAAAATCGAATATTTTGGTATGAATTCCACTTCTCAATCAAAAATGGTAAATTTGGTGTCCAATCATATATTATTGTGCCCTCTGAGTTCAGCATGGATTCAAAAAGCTAAGATGGCATCCATTTTGAAATTCAAGATGGCCTCCACAAAACCCGTTAAAAATCGAATATTTGGATATGTTAATTAATTAGCAAAAATGACGTCATTTTCATAATTATTCCCTTGGGGGCGGTAGACTTCGTTTATTTCTAGAGAACTCTAATTATTTCATGATCCTAATTAATTAACTTTAATTTCCTGTAATTAACGAAATAAGCATCGTTTATTGTAATTTTTTCGATTGTATCATAATAGTAACTTTTATTAGTAAACTCAATCAAATTCTCCAAGATTCATTTTAAATAGTTGGCCTGGGATCCCTAACTACATGTATGTACTATTTTTGTTTTAGCCCGCTTTTATAGGCCTACAGAATAAAACGGCAATGAAAAAATCTTCCTAATTTTCACGGAACCCGGGGGGTTCGATCGAAACCCCCCCCCCCCCTAAATACGGGCCTGATATTCTACGACGCGGCTGCATGCCCCGACGCAAACCATCGCATCTTCGTTTAACTCACACAGACACGACGCGAGTTGGCCTTTATACTGGTCTTGTAGTTTCATGTACATTAAATATTTTCTGCAAATTCTCCCTTCCCTTTCTTCATATGATCGACACTTCTTTACCATACAGTTAAAACGTATGATTTTTGGCTCATGAAAGCAAAGAGGAAAAAAATCTGCTGAAATGCTGTGGAGAATCTATTGCTTTTACAAGCTCAACCATAGAAAAATTTTGTTTTTTCTTAAAGCTTACAATAATAATAACTCGTTAAATGAGCCATTTAACTAGCATATAATTAAATAAACTTTTTATTAAGAACTCAATAATCACCGATAAACAGTGGGTGGAAACAGGTTAATTGAAAGTGTTATGCAGAGAAACACTGAGCCAAACCTGCCAAGAGGCATTATACTTGCAGAACAAAATGATAACGACAGTAAAGTGATGACAAAACAAATGAGGATTCATCTTCTGATGAAGAGAATGATACATATTAATGTAATTGTGTTAATCATCATTTTGAATTATTCCAGTAAGCGAATAATGATAGTTTTCATAGTTGAGTTGTGTCTCTTTGTTTATCTAACAAATGCATTTTCATTGTATGTTATTAATAGTACTATTCATTTCTTAAAATTGTAACATTTTGCATTTTATAAGCCAAAATGTGTACATAATAATGTCTGATATTTTGGAAATAAGTATGCCTGTCACCCAAGCTTTTTGAAATAATTATTTTGTTATTTAATGGAGAGGTTGAATTATAAAAACAAATATTTGATTTTCAACGAATTTTGTGGTGGCTAACTTGAGTTTAAAAATGGCTGCCAACCTTAATTTTAAAACCATGTTTTATTGGACTCGGAGTGCACAATAGCATATTAGTAGGCACCAAATTGTTACCATTTTCAATTGAGAAGTGGAATTATAAAAACAAAATATTTGATTTTCGACGACTGGTATCATAGCAACTAGACCATCGAGCTTGCGCTTAGTTGAATCTGATTCCCAAGTAGCAGCGGTGCTGCAATGAAATTATTGCCATTAGTGTTATTAGCGTTGTGTGGCGTACACCAGTGCGTACCACCTTCATTTGGATGTATTGTGTTTTTTTTTTGTAATTTGATTGATGTGATTAGTTTTTTAATGTTTTTTTTTGGTAATTTTATTGATTTGATTATTTTTTTTATGTGTATGTTAATAGGGTTTGTTGGATGGGTTTGTATGATAAAATAAGACTTGTCTGGATGTTTAAATAAATGTAATATATCACTGTAACCCGCATATAAACTTCTGAAAAATGTTTGTATTGATTAGTAAAACTATTTTACTAATCAACATACACATACACCAGAAAATTATCCAGAGGCAGGTTTGAGCGATCACAACTTCTGCCGTAATCCAGGTCAACAACAACCAACCGCTTGGTGTTACACGGTTAATCCAGAAACGATACTTGAAATGTGCAATGTTACTCATCCGGGAGAAAACTGTGGTAGGTTATTTTCTGGATCATTTAAAGATAAAGTTAGGAGATTAAAACTTAACTCCCAGATCACTGTGCTTGATTAAATGTGTAATGGGCGAGGTCTGTGATAGCAGCAGTGAGGCACATAGTAGCAGCGGTGGGGGTTCGACAGTAGGGTCCAGAACCAAAAGGCCGACGACTAAAGCATCGGTCATGTTCCCGGAATAAAAAATCCTTTGTAGGGTTCATTGTGAGAGTTTTTATGTCTTATTATCGCCCAAATTTCGCTTTTAGACCACAATATTAGGGATTGGCAATTAATAACGTTATTTGGATAGAAAAATTATTATTTTTGATCCGACGACATCGCCGTAGCGTCAAACGGCGGAGGGTACAGGGCTGCCTGACGGGGATACTCTCGCGAGAGTACAGTACCTTCGTGTTCACATCATTCCACAACGGCAGGGGCTGAAATGATTCAGCATTAGGTAACCCCTTACTTTTCCAAATGATGCACTGGGTTCTTTAAAGTGCACACGAGCCGTACATGCAGAGTGGACCTCGATTTTAAGTCCTTATCTGAAAAGACATGGTTCTACTCACTGCCCCCTAGACGAGGAGCGTCTCGAATCAGCACCGATGTTAAGGTTGCGGTTAGCGGCGCCGCTGCCTCACCGCTCTCGGCACTCCACTCAAACAACGTTGATGACAATGCAATGATAATATAAGATGATAATAATATGGATGACGATGATGATGATGCCGTAATAATAATTTTTAATGATTATGTTTTTGATTACATTTATTAGGCTCTTTTTCTCTTCTCTCTTCTGCTCCTCAAGTTGAGCAACTTAGCTCAGGTTATTCAGACTTTTGGTCCTTGGTCAATTACAATCTCTGCTCTTGTGTTTTAACTCGAGGGCTGAAATAACGTAGAAGCTGGGTAGCGCATCGGTTGTGGCTTAGACTCCCAACCTCGAGGTCGGGGGTTTGAAACTCTCGCTTGTGTCCTTGGCAAGGCACTTTATCTACGGTTGCCTCTCTCCACCCAGGAGTACAAGTTAGTAGCTGGTAGGTTCCAAAACAACTGCGCTGATTACTAGCTACTATATTATGGAATAATACAATAATTTAATTTGATAATTTAATTTGGTTTTCAATGTGTTCCATATGTGTTTGATTCAATGACCGGGGTAGTAATGTGAAGCGTTTAGAGACTTTGTAAAGCATTAAGCGCTATCTAAACGACATATTATTATTTAAATACAAATAACGATGTATCGTATTGATGTATCGATTTTGGATGAGACGTTTAAGTCAATAATCCCATGCAGTTAGGCCCATATGCACGTTAAAGAATGGAGTAAACTTTCCCAAAAGGTACAAGATTGTCTACCAAAATAGGACTGCCTAGTGTAGCCAGGACCCTACTGCAAAACAACTCTTCAAACTTAGTGGGTTCTTCACTTCAAAATTACACCTGAACTATTTCACGAAATTAAACTTGATCTTTGTTCTTGGTGGTTTGTGAACACGAGGTGTTTTGTGAACACCATGTTCAGGCAGGTTTAAAATTAATAGTAATTGTCCAAAAAAAAACATGATAATAATAACCCAGCACTTATGCGCTCTAAAATAACAAGTTTCGAGGTGTAAGTACTTTCTGTGGTCTACAAAACTCTTGTGTAAAAAATATCCCTACCATATGAATTTATAAAATGGAACATACATACTGTATTGTTCTTTCCCAGGAGCTTATGAAAAGACAAATGATGCCGATTATCGAGGCTCAGTTAATATCACAATTACGGGCAAGAGCTGTCAGAAATGGACGTCACAGACACCCCATCAGCACGCTATTACTCCAGCAAATTTTCCTGACACAGGTTTGGGTGATCACAACTTTTGCCGTAACCCAGATCAAGAACTAACCGTATGGTGTTATACGACAGATCCAGAATCGAGATTTGAGTTGTGCGATATTGATCGTCCGGAAGACAACGGTAGGTTAATAACGATGTTAATAATAATACTGTAATAGTAATGAATAATAATAATAATAATAATAATAATAATAATAATAATAATAATAATAATAATAATAATAATAATAATAATAATGAATAATAATAATGATAATGATATTGATAAAAATAATGAATAATAACTATAATGATAAGTAGATAAAATGCAAATTGACAATGACTTATCGCACTGATTTTCTATTTTTATGTTTGCTTATGTTGATTTTTTTTAACGAGAATTGCATATAATGAAATTTAATAATGATAATACAAAAAAAATAAAGGATAATTATATCAAAACAACGTCGATGATGACAATGGCAATGACGACGACGACGACGATAATAATTAAAATCATCTGGTGGTCACGTCTGTATCTACTCAACAAACAGCTCATCCCATGAAGATCTAGCCTACAGTTGCTGCAGATATTTTTATTTTTATATGAGGTATAAAATGAATTAAATTATTTTGTAATTCCACGTGTTTCAAGCAGACAAGACGCAGATAAATATAATATAATATGTGGAAAAATGACAAACGGTGGAATTGTGCATTGCATCCCATGAAGATCTAGCCTACAGTTGCTGCAGATATTTTTATTTTTATATGAGGTATAAAACGAATTAAATTATTTTGTAATTCCACGTGTTTCAAGCAGACAAGACGCAGATAAATATAATATAATATGTGGAAAAATGACAAACGGTGGAATGACAATACATAATTCCAGCGTTTGTCATCAACATCCAACTTAAATTATAATATTGTGAATTCCAACTGTTATTAGATGAGGAAACAAGTTTAGCTTGAAATTAATCAGCTTGTTTCCTTTGTTATTTTTGTTTAAATCGTCCTTGAGGTTAGGCCTATTATTATTATGCAAACAAAATGTCAAACTCATTTTGTATATAATATTGGCTACATTGATATTATTCCTAATGAGGTTTAATATATTACAATGTGTCATCTTTTACAGATGTGATCTCTTCTACAGTAGAGAGTAGAGCCCCTCCTTTAAGATACCCCTACAGATACCCCTAAAGGGGACACTTTTCCTCGAGGGGCAATATATGATTTACCACTACGGTCAACCCCTAGTAAGGGGAAGGCGACACTTTTAATGTGCTAAATGGTTTGTTTAACCCATATTTAGGGGATACAACTTTAAAAAAATCTCACCACAACCAAAAAATGAGGAAAATATTGTTGTATTACAATGCATTGAAATACTTTTTCTTTAATTGCAATATAAAAATGGTTATCTGTGTTAAATCAATTCTTCATAGTAATTATGATACTTCCAGTCAGGCTTTTTCCAATGTAAATGTTATTGCGTTTTTAGCGTTTTTAGTTGCCATAACGGAACACCCCCATTAAGGGTAACAATGTAGACCACTTCAAAGCTAATATTTTGGCTTTTAGTTATACATTCCAGAAAATTATATATACCCTTCAACAAATTTCAACATAATTTTCCTCCTAGATTCAATAAACAAATTTGCTACAAATACCATATTCAACTGCCCTACTATGCTAATTAATGTTAATTAGCTTGTGGAATCTGAAAATATTTATCTTCCGAGCTATTAGGCATATCATATTAAGCTAATTTGGGATGGGGCAAGGGGGTGCACCAGATTATCAGAATAGTGTTGAGTGCAAGCTGCAATGACATAACGAAGAATGATATTTTATAAATGTAGTGGCAAAACAAGTAGGTAGAATTCGTTCCCCTGTGCCTCACCGCCCCCACCCCAGTGAATCTTCCCCTGCGAGTACCGTGCTGAATATGGTATTGAAGTGAGTTAGATTTTTTTTTTTTATGACGGATGAACATAGTTATTTTTTCAATTAATTGGGGTGAATTCTCATAATGTGCACGGACTTAGTTCTTAGTTTTCTGTTGAGGTTTAAATTTCTTTCTATTTCATTTTTAAATCTCGTTTTATATCGTCTATAATACTATCTATACATTTATTTCTCTCAATCCCAGGTGCTCCTGTAATCTTATATTTAACCATGCTTACTGTTGTAAGAACAAAGTCATTTATAAAGAAATTGTTTTTTCGTATTGTCATTTTTATTTATTTACTGTATTTTTATTAAACATAATATTATACAGGATAACGTATCAGGAGGGTGTAATACATACAAAATTAAAAAATTATAAAAAACATCTAAAATCAACAAATCCAATATTAATATAATTGTGAAGAAACATTATGATAAAAGCTTAATTTAAAAAGCAGAATATGTTGGACTTTATTAAAATACATAGTGAAAATTGAACCACAAAATAATTAGGTAATAAAATGAATGATAAAAATCTTAATCATAGAATGAAATAGAAAAATTCAGTATTAAAAGTAGAACAGACGAAAAGCAGGTCTATTGAAGGCAAATCAATAAGTTGGTTATCAATATCTTTTGTTTTTTTGTAAATTTTTAGAAATTTGTTTGGGTGCTATATCGCCGTAAATGATTAATTTCTGTTAAAAACCCGTCAGGGGCTTCTCCTTGGTAACCCACAATGGAGCTCTGCCCCTGGGTCCGGGGTGGCGCCAGCGGTGAGTGGGAGCCCCCAATCGGGAAGAGCTCCCCCCCCCCCTCGTCGTCGGGGAGAAAAAGAACAATTCGTCGGAGAAAAAAAATTATATGTATTTTTGACATATTAGTAGATTCTAAAATCCATTAAATAAGCCTTTGAAACCCCTAAATTGTCAAAATTTTAGGGGATTCGCCCCCAGGACCACTTTCGAAACCTTATAATCGAAGCTCGACCACGCCCACTTTGCTTTCGTCGAGGAAATCTGACCCCTCGTCGGGGCACCGCCCCCACACTCGGGGACCTCTGACCCCGTTGGGAAAATCCTGGCGCCACCCCTGCCCTGTGTCCTAGGCAGCCCTGGGCCCGAACGACCTAAATGGGACTCACTTTTGTTGTCAGAATGAATCTTTGGATTCCTGAATGTCAGTTGAAAATGTAAATCTTGTTCCCAACAACTCTCCGAAGAGTTATGTATTCTCACATGCATCGCACTTATTGGGGTATCATCTATCTACTTCCGGGAAACGAGGCATGACATGACCTATAAGAAAGTATAATACATACTCCAAGTATTGAAATACACGCCATCGTGTTGGGATTCAATATTTCGACATTAATTATGTCATCATCAGGAATCATCATCATTCCTGATGATATCGTGTTGGGATTCAATATTTCGACATTAATAATGTCGAAATATTGAATCCCAACACGATGGCGTGTATTTCAATACTTGGAGTATGTATTATACTTTCTTATCTGAGATTAATCAGTGGACCTTTCGGTTTTTGGAAAACATGACCTATGTTTTTCAACTCTTCTCCAGATGTCTCTGGAAAGGAATGACCTCGGCTCTTTTTCCATTTTATACTTTTTAGTATACATTATATACTAATGCCACATTACTGGTAAATACAGTAATGTACGGAGTGCAATACCGTACCGTAGCCAGGATTTTTAAACAGTGCGGGACAATATCAGGGTGGACCTATTTTATGCGTAAATACAAACCATGTGGACCCATTTTACACCAAAATATGACAAATATGGACCCATTTTCTTAAATTTTATCCATTTTAAGCTAAATATGAGAAATCTGGACCAATTTTTCAAAATGTGGACCCATTTTATGCATAAAATTACATAATTTGGACTCATTTTTAAAAATGTGTCCCATTAGAAAAATTGTGTGGGACTGTCCCAATAGCTGGCTACGACATTGACGGAGAGGACTAACTAGAAGTAGATTTAACATAAGGCCTAATATAAATGCAAAAATTGGATTTAAAATAAAATTTTACAATTTCCATGCTCTTATTAGGACTATGTTGATGATACGTTGGTTCATCATCCTTGTAAGCCAATAATATAAAGCAAAAAGTCCACTGAAATTATTGCTGCGAAGCAGCCAATTCATATTCTTGACAGCAATTTGACCTCTGAAAGGTCATTGTTTGTCAAAAATCAATCGCCTGACGCAACTGAAAAGCGGAGTTTCCTTCTTTCGTTCTGCCGCGTAAAATCAATTACTTTAGGCGACGTTTGTAGACTAGCCTACTCGTACCAACGTCGGCATGTCGCGACGCTGGAGTACTATTCAGTGTTTTTACTATATTTCTAGGTTTCCTATTTCTACGTTTAATCGGCTCATGTCTCAGCCACAATATTTTGAGGACAATATTAT